AGTGATGCTGGCTTCATAGAAGGAATTTGGGAGTTCTCCTTCTGTTTCTATCAATTTTGAATAATTTAAGTAGTATTGGTTGGAGATCTTTAAATGTCTGATATAATTCTGCTATAAATCCATCTGGGCCTGGGCTATTTTTAGTTGGGAGGCTTTATATTTCTGTTTCAATTTTCTTATGTATTATGGGTCTGTTTAAACTGTTGATCTCTTCTTGGTTTCACTTTGGTGATTCCCATGATTTCAGATATCCATCTATTTCTTTTAGATTTTCAGATTTAGTATCATATAGTTTTTAAAAATACTCCCTTGACAGTGAATGTTTTTGTAATCTTTCCAAAGTATCCACTTGAAGTAGCTCATTAGAAAGCAAGGGGAGGAACTGGGGAAGCCAGAGCCATGGTATGTTTACTTAATGTGCATGAGGTCTTGGATTCAATCCTCAGCAAACCAAAAAAGGGGAAGGAATACACTAGAAGGAAGTAATTAAATTGACTTTGAATAACTGAATGTTCAAATAAACACAATCTGATAAAATACTTTCTAAAGTATATAAAGATTTTAAATTGCTTTGAAAACTATTCAGCTCCTAGAAGAGGGTAATTCAGAAAGTAGCAAATAACTTAGCTTAACTTTAACACTGAAAAAAATAAGAAAAAACACTTGAGAATTGAACATTAAAACAAATTGAAGTTTTATATGAGAGAAACAAATAACCTAGCACCTAGAATTAACTCAGAAATCAGCTGATTCAACAAGAAAGACCTAAGACTTCAAGGAAACTTGATTTCTACATAAACCTTAAGGCTTCAGGTCGTTAGCAAACCCAGTAGCTATATTGTCTATAAAAATTTCTCTGATATACACCTTAATATTGACATGGACACGTGGGCTTGTATTCTCCTGGTGAGGAGTGTTTTTGGAGACCTTGTTGAAAATGTACATTCTGAACTGTGTGCAGTGGGGCACACCTGCTGTTCCAGATACTCATGCTCACAGGTTTGAGGCCAGCCTGGACTGTGGAACTTAGTGGTAGGGTGCTTGCCTAGTATGTGTGAGGCCCTGGGTTTGATCCTCAGCACTGCGCAAAAAAGAAAAAAGGCCCACAACAACAGAAAAGGGTTTCAAAACGTATATATCATTTGATCTGATTGTTCCAGAATTCATCCTATGAAAAGTAATCAGAGTTCTTACAAGTAGCTGGGTACTTACTATGTCCCAAGTTGGTATTAAGCCATTTACTTAATTGTTCTCATCTGATATTTATAGGAAATGAATTTGCAGAATGGATATAATTATCTCCATTTTTTTTTTTCAGATGAGGAACTAAGGCTTGATAGAGGTTGCCTAAGATACTTGCCCAGGATCATACAACTTAGGATAGAGGAGTCAGGGTCTAGTATAGGCTGCTGCTTCTTACCTACTATGTAATATTGTATCCTTGCCATGTGTACCAAGTTAACCTAGAAGGACCTGCATTTCATAACTGTTGTGAAACAACTCCATATCAGTAGGAGGCAAAGAGCTACTTAGAATGATTTTACAGAGCATTTGACAAAGGAAAATGTTAATGAGACAACAAATGTAAAAACATGAGAATTTTTATACTGATTCTGATTTTATAAAACCAAAGCAAAAATCCTTCTGTTTTTATCGTATGTGTATGTGCATAGGAAAATAAAGCAAAGGTGACCCTCTTTGAGAAGCCCTCATCCCAGCTCTACTTTGTCTTACTTCTTCCCTGAGCACCTTTCTTTCTTCTAGCTCTGGTACCTAAATTTATTTAAACTTCCTTAATAAATACCAAAAGGGGAAAAAATGGGAAATTGCTGTAGCTTTGACAATGGTTCTTGTAAATCTTTATTATCTATTTTATTTTGAAACCTTTCAGATTTTAAGTATTTCATTCATCAGAAACAATACTATAAAACTACATAGTATAATTAGAATATTCAAATGAATATCCCTGCACTCACTTCAACCTAAGAAGTAGAGCATTGCTAAGATTCCTGAAGTGCTCTGGGTACCTTCCTTCCCTGTTTTCATCCTTCCCAGAGGGGAGACCAAATACTCAGAATTTGTGTTTGTCATCCCACAGTTTTTATTATAGTTTGGTTCTACATGTGCCTCTAAAATTTATTCAGTTTGATAATGTCATTGAACTTTATGTAATGGTAACTGTTTTCCCCATTCAGTTTCACAAATTCATGACATTTCATTTGTTCTCTGATACAATATTTGATTTACCTAGCATTTCTAGTCTTTCACTTGGACATTTGGTTGTTACAGGTTTTGAGGTCTGTTTTTGTTGTTTGGTTTTGTGCTATTACAAAAATGCTGGTAAGAATGTTCTTAAGTGTCCTGATAGGCATGTGCAAAACCATCCCTTCAGCCAGGACTGGCAGCCAAGGCCTGTGATCCCATCTACTAAGGAGCCTGAGGCAGGAGGCTGGCAAGTTCAGGGCCTGCCTGGGCCACAGAGTAAGTTCAAGGCAAGCCTGTGCAGCTCAGTGAGACCCTATCTCAAAATAAAGTAAAGAAAGGTAGGAGGATGTAGTTCAGCAGTAGAGTGCTTACCTGGCATGCATGAAGCCCTAGGTTCAATCCACAGTAGCACACACACAGAGCAGCTCTTAGACTTGACTGTGTAGCTAGAATAGAATTGTTGAATTTTAAGGTATATTTATTTTCAGATCTAATAGCTAATACATAAACATTTCCAAAGTGATTGTACACTATAAATTCTTAAATGTAGTATGTAACTATTCCCATTTCTTCGTATCTGTCAATATTGAGTAATATATTTTTAAACTGAAAAAAACCCCAATGTTTTATACATAGATGTAAAAGAAATATATCTTGGTGCTTTTCTTTAAGAAATATCGATTTTGGTTGTTCTTATTGATATGTGCTTATGCTCCTACAGGTATGCCAACAGTAGCCTCATAAAGTACATGGAGAAACACAAGGTCAAGCCTGACAGCAAGGTGTTCCTCCTGGTAGGTACTGAAATCTGATCTTAGCACAGCTGTCACCTCATCCTGTTTACTGTGGAATTGGTGGATGCTTCAGAGAAATTAAATGTTTTTCTGCTGAGATATCATCCCTGACGTCTAGCCCTAATTTCTTAAATAATTTATCATCAGAGGGGAAAAAAATTTTAAGGGACTTTAATGTGGGTTTCTTAAATGTATGTGTACAGAGAACTAATTGTACAGTGAACAATACAAGATGTATTTGAGGACAGGTGAGATGGCCAGTGGGTAAAGGTGTTGCTGCTAAGCCTGACCACCTAGGTGTGATCCCTAATCCCTAGAACTCACATGGTAGAAGAGAAACTGCCTTTTGGCACACACACAAACGTACACACACACAGCATAAGTAGATAAGTGTAAAAAAGATGTATTTGGTGTTAATTATGCTAGACATTAGTAAAGGTTAGGATGTTGACTTGTAAACAACCTTTTCATGTGCTGTCAACTTCTTATTTGTCACTCTAGCTTCAGAAACTCCTTACCATGGATCCAACCAAAAGAATCACATCAGAGCAGGCTCTGCAAGACCCGTATTTTCAGGAGGACCCCTTGCCAACATTAGAGTATGTACCAGCTCTCCCTTGTCTGTGTCCTTTTGCTCCAAGTTGAGGGTGTTGGGTGGTGCTGAAAGCAAGGGAAGCCATTGCCACTGAAATCTTTTACTTCATCACGATGACTGCTCAGGAAAAAACTGCCAAAGAGAAAAAGCCTGTGTTTCAAAAAAGGCCAAGTTGTAAAGCTGTGAACAAAAGTGCTTTTTTAGGAATGAGCATTGACCAGTTGTACAGATAAAGCTAAACCAGAACAGATGAGACTTCTACACAGTAGTCAGCAACATCAGAGATTACACCAAAGGGCATGGAGAACCTCAAATTGTATCCTGTAGAGTGCATGTCCTGCACAGCAGATGGCCTGCCCCTCCATTCTTACTTCACCCAAGGCTGTATTTTGGGCTGGTCTAGATTAGAGATACTTTTTTTTCTTGAGGGGAAGTTTTTTTTCATATTGAAGCCAATACAAATTGAGTTTATTTTGTGCTGATGAATTTATCATAGACAATCTTCTGTATCATGTGTGTATCAGCTAGCTACCAGAAGTCAGTGGAAAGGTCAGGTGATGAATTATTCTTTCCTTACTGGTTAAATTAAGTTGCTTTGGAAGGTATATAGCAAATACCAGCCACAGGTGAAGAACAGGGTGTAAGAAAAAAGTAGAATTTTAAGCTAAGGTGATGATATTATAGATTTTAGGTTATAACACCTATTTTCTTTACATGATTTTTAGTGTGTTTGCTGGCTGCCAGATTCCATACCCCAAAAGAGAGTTCCTTAATGAGGATGAACCTGAAGAAAAGGGTGACAAGGTACAAGCTTCCTGAAATGCTTTGACTTCCAGAGGAAGGGAAACAAAGTGGTAATTAGGGGGCCATAATTTTTGATAATTTCTATATTTTAGCCCACCTTTTCTTTACCTGACTTACCTGTTGAAATACCATAAGCCTTACACATAACTGGACTTCTGGTTTGTCTAATAGCCCATTCTATTCTCTGAGTTCCAGTTCTCCCTGATTTTGCTTGTCCAGTGTTGATTCCTCCAAGCTGTGTTTTTACAGGCATCACTCTGTCCCATTATGTTAACTGGATTCATTAGCCTACTCCTCACACTGTTCAACTTTCCAGAATCATGACTGAAAGGCTTTCAGTTGTTTTAATAGATGGGACAACATTTCAGTGTGCCTTATGGCTGCCACTTTATGCTTGTGTTTAAATTAGAGATCTCATAGTCTAAATGAGCTTCAGAGAGCACATTGAGGGATCACTATGTTAACTTTTGGAAATGCTGTATTCTTGGAGTTCCCTAGCTACAGTCATATTAGTCACTCAGTGACAAGGTTATACCCCAGGTATGTCACTAGTCATATAAAATATCAAGTAATAGAAAAAAATTTACCATTCATTTGGTTTCACACCAAGATTTCATTTTTTTTTTTCCCTTAAAAGAATCAACCACAGCAGCAGAACCAGCATCAGCAGCCCACAGCCCCTGCACAACAAGCAGCAGCCCCTCCACAGGCACCCCCGGCACAGCAGAACAGTACCCAAACCAATGGGACTTCTGGGGGCGCCACAACCGGTGTTGGGGGTTCTGGAACGGGGCTGCAGCACAGCCAGGACTCCAGCTTGAGTCAGGTGCCTCCAAACAAGAAGCCCCGGATTGGACCTTCGGGTGCAAACTCAGGCGGACCCGTTATGCCGTCAGATTATCAGGTACTCCCCTGAATTGTCTCCTTTTTGATGTGGGTATGTTTTATGAAATAGGAATTTACTTTTAATAAATTCCAGAGTTAAATAATTCTTAGTTCCAAAATTTGATATGCAAACTGGTTGTGTCTCTAGCATTATATGAAAATATAATTTTTCATGTAATTGTTAGTTATTTTGTACTGTGAATTGTTTATTATAACATTTTCAAGAGAGGAAGTATAGGGAGATAGGAGACTCCCTTAAAGAAAGTTTCATTATTATATTATGCCCATAGTTAAGCTTTGGTTCAGAAAAAGATATGCACATAAGCAAGAGGGAAGATAGTAGCAACTAATTTGGACAAAACTAATTACATTCCTGAGAAAGATTTGTTCTTTCTGAGAAGAAAATAAGTAAGGAGCCATGTAGACACAGAAAAGGATGGAGCAGGCTGGAGAGGTGGCTCAATGATTAAGAACACTGACTGTTCTTCAGAGGGCCCGGGTTCAATTCCCAGCTCCCACATGGCAGCTAACAACTGTCTGTAACTCTAGTTCCAAGAGATCAGACACCCTCTTCTGGGCTCCAGACATTGCATGCATGTGGTACACCTACATACATATGCAGACAAAACACTCATACCCATAAAATAAGAATAATAAGTAAATATATTTTTTTAAGAAAAGGATGGAAGCTGAGACTTCTCAGAAATAATTGCCAATCTTATTAAAATCATTTTGAGATTAGATAATGCGTTTTTGGTATTAAGATAAAGAGGAAATTATAGTTGTGCCACTGATTAAGGAAACTAGAGGGGAAAAGTGTAAAGACTGGTATTAGGAGAGAAGTAAAAACATACATTGTGATAACTATAGAGAATCTTGCAAAACAAAGAAAGTAAGAAAATACCTTAGGAAGAAGAGAAACTTAAAAGATATACTTTCAAAGAGAAAAGAAAGCTGGAGAGAGTGGGTACCGCTCTTCCAACAAACCCAGTTCAGCTCCCAGCACCCACCTCAGGTAGCTCACAACTGCCTGTACCTACAGTTCCAAGGTATCTGATGCCTCTGGTCTCCAAAGATACCTGCACTCGTATGCACACACCCAAGCATACACACAGTTAAAAAGAATAAGGAGAGGGTCAGTGGATGGGTTAGAAGAGCCATAGCCCTCAGAGAACTCATGGAAGAACACTTAGGATAAAGATAAGAGAAAACAAAACTGAACTGGAATAAAGAGACACGTGGCAAAGAAGCACATAGTAAATAGCAGCCTAAGCCGCTTTAACATTTTGAACATTTCATCTAACCAATGTTATTACTGCTTCTCTTGAAAGCTGCTCTTCAGCCATTCCCTGCAAGCAGAAGAGGCAGGACTTCTTTTCAGATCCAATTAAGTTAGTCATGCTTCAGTTTTAACTACCAACACCAGCTTGCTATTTGGATAGTAATTATGTACATAATTTGAATTTTGTTATAAATTCAGTTTCTCCCAGACTTTCCTTTATCCCAATCTTATTCGCAATTAATGCCTACTTTATACTATTTTGTCTTTGTGTCTCAGATTGTATTATGTTAACCTGTGTTAGAGAAAAATATTTATCTCAACATTTGTTAAAGAAGGAAAGGCAGTGTGGTGTGGTGGCACACACCTATAGTCTCAGGATTTGATCCTCTCAGGAGGATCAGAAATTCAAGATTAGCTACATAGCAAATTGAGGCCAGTCTAGACTATATGAGGCCTTGTCTGGAAAGAAAACGAAAGCAAGAGGTGATAAAGCAAATTTTATTCAGAGGGGCTATAGGGATTGGTATAGAGATCCCATAGTAGTGTCTTGTAGCAAGTAGAGAAATTGACTCAACTCCACTCTAACAATTAGAAGTCAAGATTTATAACCAAAGAGCAGAATTGGGGATCACGGTTAGAAAAACACTAATAGGAAACATCAAGGATAAAGGGTTATAAAGGGTTAATTGCTGAAGGCAGGCCAGAGGTAGAGGTTTATGTAGATCTGACTTAGTAGGATTCTTCTGTAATGGAATTCAACAATGCCAGAGAGGGAAGCCAGGGTTGACCCTAATTAAGCAGGGGTCTCCCAGAAGCATAACCCAAGTTTTGATCAAAGGAGACATCTCTGCCACCTCCTTGTAGCCAGTTACAGACAGGTTACAGTTTTTCTTCTGTTTCTTTCAAATTCAAAAGTTCTTCAAAAGTTTTTCTTTGTCCATATTGTTCTGTCTAAAGTATACCATACCTCATAGCCATGAAACGGATTAATATCTCAGTGATTTATTTGACGAGACTAGTATGGACTGGAGCAATTTGCAATTGTGTATAATCAGTATGTTTGTTCTGCATTTAGTAAGGAAGAGCTATTGCACTAAGTATAATCAGCTAGCCTGAAAGTAGTCATAGCTAGTCTAGCAGTTGTACAGCATTAGTTTTATTAATTTTATTTTTCTTTTCTTTACATCTTCTGATTTTAAGGTTTATCAGAGATAGAGCATCTTTAGGTTTGTTTTGTCATGAATACCTTTCAAAATGAAAAATAGTCATTTCACAATGTCTTTTTTTTCCTAAAATTTATTATTTTTATTTTATGTGTATGCGTATAATGCCTGCATGTAGGTGAGTGCACCCATGTCGTGCAATGCCCACAGAAGACAGAAGAAGCTGTTGGATCCCCTGCAACTGGAGTTACGGACAGTTGTTAGCTGCCATGTGGAAGGATAAAAAATGTCAAATATTTATAAATAAGCTCAAAGAAATCAACACAAATAAATGTACACATTCTTTCAAGAAAACAGCCTATTGTAATACAGGAATAATAAACTTATGACTTAAAAAATACAGAATATAATGAACAACTAATTCATTTATTCCAATAATGATGTTCAAATATTTTTAGAATTGTTTCCTAAAATTACTTTCATAATCAGTTTTGCTCTACTCAAAGAAATCATTGATTTTGGGGTTGGAGAGATTGCTCAGTGGTTAAGAACACTGACTGTCTTGCAGACGATCTGGGGGTTCGAATCCCACCACACACATGGCAGCTAACAACTGTCTGTAACTCCAGTCTCAGGGAATCTGACAGCCTCTTCTGACCTCCACGGGCATTGCACAACACAGGTGCACTTACCTACTTGCAGGCAATACATGCATATACATAAAAAATAAAAATAATAAATAAAATTAAAAGGCCATCTCTCCAGCCCCACAATGTCTTTAAAAAAATAATATGGCTTAATATTTTATTTCCTTGTATTTGATTTTCCCTGAATTACTTTTAGTTTATTCAAGGCCAGATTTAGTTTTTCTTTTAAGGAGAGCCTCTGTTTTACTCTTTAGTAGGTTGCGTTTGTAGAGCTTTAGGATGTGTCAGTAACCAACTATGATTAACACTTCAGAAAGAGGAACCTGGTGTGGTGGCTTGAAACCAGAATCTCAGTACTTGAGAGGCTAAGACAGAAGGATTGCCAAGAGTTCAAGACCAGCCTGGGCTACAAAGTGAGACCCTGTTTCAAAAAACAAGACATACAGAAGGAAGAAAGAAAAAAGAAAAGGACGTGACTTTTTTTCTGTTGAAAAAGGAAATCTTGTCATTAAAAGGTTATGTTTTAGCCGGGCGTGGTGGCACACGCCTTTAATCCCAGCAATCGGGAGGCAGAGGCAGGCAGATCTCTGTGAGTTCAAGGCCAGCCTGGTCTACGTAGTGAGTTCCAGGACAGCTGGGGCTTCAGGGAGACCCTGTCTCAAAAAGACCAAAAAAAAAAAAAAAAAAAAAGGTTATGTTTTAGAGGATTTTTTAAATTTTATTTTATTTATTTATCTTTGAGATGGGGTCTTGGTGTGTAGCCCAGACTGAAAGGTATTTGTCTCCTGATCTCTTGAGGGCAATCGTGTAGGAAAATTGCTTTAATTTTTCGACAGAAAATAAAGTTTATTGGTGAGTACATTTATTCCAACTAAAAACCACTTAATTGCTGTTGTACCCTGCCAGCCTTCCTGTTTGTCTTGTTGGTGGAGCCCCTGATGCCCCTGGCTTCTGCCTCAGAAAGCTCTGCTTTAAAATAATGATTTCTTGGGCTGGAGAGATGGCTAAGTGGTTAAGAACACTGGCTGTTCTTGCAGAAGACCTGGGTTCAAATCCCAGCACCCACATGGCAGCTAACAACTGTCTGAAGTGCCAGTTCCAGGGGATCTGATGGCCTCTTCTGTCCTCTGCGGGATTGCACAACACAGGTGCACTTACCTACTTGCAGGCAATACATGCATATACATAAAATAAATAAAATATTTTTAAAATAAAATAATGATATCTTAAATTATTATTTATAACAAGGAAGTTAACAGTGTGCCATTGTGTCTCATTAAGAACATTTATTTCCATTTGTCAAATTAAACGTTTTTGGTGGCAAAGCTCAGTCGTGCATTGTACCCCAGAAGTTTCCCTTTTGTCTTTCTTTACTAGTATATCTCATCACCCCCACCCCCCAATCCAGTCAAACTTCATGCCAACCAGTGTGGTTACAGTCTAGGCAGACTGGGATTTTAGAAGAGCAGAGTATGTCAAGAGACTAAACTGACCATCAGTTACTGTGCATCTGAACCAGGAATCTCATGATGAAAGTGGTTAATATCTCTGTCCTGCTGTGATTGATATTGTGAACCTTTCTTTCCTATCAATAATCCCCCTTTCCTGTTTTTTTCTAGCACTCCAGTTCTCGCCTGAATTACCAAAGCAGCGTTCAGGGATCCTCTCAATCCCAGGGTACACTGGGCTACTCCTCCTCATCTCAGCAGACTGCACAGTACCATCCATCTCACCAGGCCCACCGGTACTGACCCACTGCCCTCTGCTTGGCAGATTCCAGCTGTATGGTGTCTGCATTGCAAAGAGCCACAGAATGAAAACTGTAATGCCATGGAAAACTCAGACACTTGAGTGGAAAACTACATGCCAAGTGTTTTGCAGGACTAACATCTCTTCTTTGTTGACTTCAAGAAGATTGTTGTGAAGTTTCCCCAGCCCCTCTCCCTGCATGAGCTCCATTGTGACTTCTCTGATGAAGAATCTGATCTGATCCCAGCACTTCTATAACCTTCAGCATTCTTTGAAGGATTTCCTGGTGCACCTTTCTCATGCTGTAGCAATCACTATAATTTATCTTTGCCAAGCTCTTTTAATAGGATTTTAATGTTTTAGAAACAGGATTCCAGTGGTGTATAGTTTTATACTTAATGAACTGATTTAGCAACACAGGTAAAAATGCACCTTTTAAAGCACTACACAGTTTTCACAGACTGTAACTGTTTTGCTCTTGGAAGTCTTAAAAAGAAACTGTTACTGTCCCAAAGTACTTTACTATTATGTTTTTATTTATCTCGTTTCAGGGAAGGCCTAGTAAAAGACAAGTGGTGGGACAGAGGGTACCTACAACCAAAAACAGCCTAGATCTTTGCAGTTTACTATGCTTTATGCTATGAAGAACTGAAGTAGGTGGTGATTTTTTTTAATATAACCATCCACATGGAACTTAGTTTGCAGAATCATCATATACTGAATAATATTCAGTAATTAAAAATTATAATTTTAACTTTCATGTAGCTAAGTCTACTTCAAAAAGGGTTTCAAGAGCTTTGATGGAATACAGTCCTCTGGTGACCCACCTCGGAAATCTGAAGAGACTGTTAACTGCATTAGGATTTCTGAAAGGAGCAATGTTGATCAAAGGATGTGTTACTGTCCCTCGAATGAAAAGCTTTTCATGTGTATTGTATGAAGTGTTGGCTTCTCTAAAGGAGCTTCAAATCAGTTTCTTCAAATCTGGGTCGGCATGAGTAACTTTCTTATATAATCAAGGATACTCAAATAGAAGCCTGAAAATTCATCTGCTTTTCAAATAAAGAGCAGCATTTTCCATTTGTATTTACACTAGACATAGAGTAACTATTTTTAAAGCATGTTAAAAATTTAGGTTTTATTCATGTTCAAAGTATGTATTAAGTATGCATAATTTTACTGTTGTTACTGAGACTTAATTCTGTCAAGAATCTTTTCATTGCACTGAATGCTTTCTTTTGCCCCTAGGAGAAAACTTAATAATTGTGCCTAAAACTATGGGCAGATAGTGTAAGACTTTACTAGATAAGGTGAATATTTGCATTTCAATTATCTATGAATTAGACGGTGAGTTCTTTATTTGCTACTTTAAGGAACCCCTCACCCTCCAGTGTTGAAAGGAAATGTAAAGACTTAGCGCTCCCATGGTAGAATAGGGGGCAAAAAAAGAAAAAAAATCCATGTTCTTCTGAGTGCTCCTAGCAGCACCAGCTTTGTTTTAAATGTTTTCTTGAGCTAGAAGAAATAACTGATTGTTGTATATGCAAACAATATGCATTTTTAAAACTATTCTTTGTGAACTTATCTACCTGGTTATGATACTCTGGGTCCATATACAAGTAAGATAAAATTTTAGAAGCCAGTATACATTTTGCACTATTGATGTGATACTGTAGCCAGCCAGGACCTTACTGATCTCAGCATAACATAGTAATAAAGGCTGTATAGTGACACTCACCAAGACTGAAGATGAAGCAGGGGTGTGCTCCATTTGAGAGGAATTTATGATTTGATCTCCATGGATTTTATCCCGTTTTTAAAAACAAGAATCTAACAGCTTCCTGCATAATGTAGCTACCTATATAAAGTTCTGTCCTGTGCCCTGAAGCCTCATTGTCCAGAGCTACTGGTTGTCAGATGTTCACTGCTCCCTCGTCATGGGCTCAGTGCTCAGCTGGGTGGAAAAACAGAGCAGGGCGCATTCTTGTCCTTATGGCCAATTCAGTGACAACTGTACGGTCTCATGGGATGTCTGTGCCATGTGATTAACTTATAAATGAAACTTTCACATGATGTGAAGGTTCTTTTGTTTACTTCTAAACCCACTTGGATAACTATTCTGAATTTTATAGTGCACAGTGTTATGGGGAGTGGGGGTTCTGTATCTGACCACTTGAGAAAGCCAGTGATTAGCAATCACAAAAGTCTTCTATGCATATTTGAAATGTTCACAGCAACCTTCAGCAGCAGGTGGGTGGCCCTTGTGGACAGAACACACTTTGCTAAATAGTTTAGAAAAATCACAATGGGAGCCGAGCATAGTGGCGCACGCCTTTAGTCCCTGCACTCGGGAGGCAGAGACAGGTGGATCTCTGTAAGTTCAAGACCACCCTGGTCTACATAATGAGTTCCAGGCCAGCTGGGGCTACAGGGAGACCCTGTCACAGAAAGACCGAAAAAGAAAAAGAAAATCACAATGAAAATGGAAGCTCTGTTCTTGCCATTAAGTGAGCTTGCATTTAATAAAAAGTAACCCTAAATATATACATAAACCAAAATACCAGTAATGCTTGAAAGCAACTTTGATATCCAGTTCTGATGATATGCACTTAAACAGTCACAGAACTCCCCTGCTTTCTTTGTAGGTGATGAATTTTACTGGTAAAACTGATACAAACAATGGGTATTGTCAGTTGCTCCTGGAACAGTGTTCCAGGACATAGCTAGAAATCCCCATCACACATATGGCTGAGCTTCATATCACTGCACTGGTTCTGGCCCTTTGTTTCTCACTTCTTGTCTCAGGGTTGGTGATGAACACTCATGCCCATTACCCTTTGAAATAATTTTGGTTCACAATTTCCTTTTTTCTGTAAAGGAAACAAAGCCCTTCATTCACATTAAGGCCGTATACTGTGGGATGGGACCTCTAAGGGGACCTGGGAAGCTTTTTAAGGATAAAATTTACCTTTGTGATCCACAAATGATTGCATTCCTCTTTGAACATTTATTAGATACTGTCCTGTCCCCCAGAGATATAGGGGAGGCATCCTCCCACTTAATGGAACACTGGAACCAAGAGAGGTATTGAATGAATTGAAGGATTTCTGCTCTTTATGTTACAGATCATTTTTAGAGGTAGCTGTTTGGCAAGGCATTTGTTTGGGGAAAAGGATCAGGAATTTTGGGACAGACTAGCTTAAAGTAAGGTAGCTTGGTGCCTGGGCTGGTACTATGAGGCTGAAACAATCCTTGTGATGAAGTAGATCATGCAATGAGATGCAAAAATCAAGGATGTGTATATTTTTATATCTGTGGTTTTGAAACTTTAGTACTTAGAATTTTGACGTACTGCACTACTTACTCTCTTACTCTAATATAATCTACTTTTAAGAATTGAAAGGGATGGCATTTACTATGTGTTCACTGCCTCATTCCTGGTGGGACAGCAACATCTAGTTGTTCTCTGTGCCTCTAAGATGATGATTTTCCCTTTAGCTTTCTTTGCTAAAGGGAAAATAAAAAGGAGTTAGAGAGTACAATTTGCAGCTTGGTTTGCTTTTGAGTAAATATGTAGCAGCACCTGTACAGTGAAGGAAGCATTCTGTCAGAGCTGCAGTCTTAACTCCATGGTGGCACCTTCCTAAGTGAAGGAGAAGGGCAGTGAAATGGCCATCAGGCTTGACAGAGGCTTGAAGGAGTCAAGGACAAGTAATGTTATATACAAAACATAGCAGTTTAGGTGCCCATAATCCTCAAGAATAGTCACAAATATCATAAAACGAAGGCCATTGTTTTAGGACTTTAAAAAACATGTGTTTTATCTAAGGCCGTACTTACTCGTCTATTCTGTCACTTCGAGGGAGTGGCAGGCATGTATTATATGGAAAAATACCTGATGCACTGTTATCTCCTAAATATTGAGTAAATTAATACTATTTAATTTTTTTAAAGATTTGTCTAGGTAGACACTAAAAGTATTACTTACACAAAATCTGGACTGAAGAGGTCCTTTTTAACAACAATCGAAAGTACTTTTATATGTTATGTAGTATATCCTTTCTATAAACTGCCTAGTTTGTATTCCTGATAATTCCTATTTGTGAAATGTACCTGTTTCTGTCTCTTTTTCAGTCATTTTCTGCACGCATCCCTCTTTGTATGAGTATAGATATTGCTGTGGCTTTCCCCACTCTGCGGTGACCTGTGTGCTCCAAGCCGACTGCCCTCAGCAGCACACAGTCTAGGGGGCAGGGTGAACTGCCTCTTCAGAGCTGAGTGTTTTTGCTTTGGAGCTGTTCTGCCATCCTTCTTAAAATGACTGTTAAAACTAAGATAAATTACATTGCATTTATTTTATATTCTTGGTTGAAATAAAATTTAATTGACTTTGTTTCTTTGTGGATTTTTTTAACAGTAGAAAACTTTAAAACTAACAAAATATATTTGCATGTGTGTGCTTGTACATGTGTACTCCATAGCACACTGATGGAGGAAAGGACAGCTTTCAGGGGTGATTCTCTCTTCCACTGCATGGGCTCTAGGATTAAGTTCTAGTTGTCAGCACTTAACTTGCTCAACCATCTCACTGACCCCACGAAACTCTAGTAATAAGTTTAATGTTAAGTCTGTCAATTTGCAGTTAAGTTACTTTGTTTGGGTGATTAGGATACCACAAAAACCACAGAAGCAAGTAAGACTTGCAAATAGCTGAGAAGAGAAATTCGAAGTTCCTAAAATCCTCTGAGAGAAATACCTTCTTAAAAAACAGCTTGAGATAAGCTGGGTGTGGTGGCTCACACCTGTAGTCCCAGCATTTGGAAGGCAGAGGCAGGTGGATCTCTGTGAGTTCAAGGCCAGCCTGGTCTACATAGTGAATTCCAGGCCAGCTGGGGCTACAAGCAGACCTTGTTTCAAAAAGACCAAAAAAAAAAGTTTGAGGACTAGGTATGGTGGTGCTCGCCTTTAATCCCAGCACTTGGGAGGTAGAGGCAGGAAGATCTCTGTGAGTTTGAGGCTAACCTGGTCTACATAGCAAGTCCCAGGCCAGCTGGGGCTACAGGGAGACCCTCCCCCAAAAAAACCAAAAAAAAAAAAAAAAAAAAGTTTGAATGATGTTTTAGAAAAAACAAGCATACTTTTATGGATGGGGCTGGGTTGTGAGATTCTCCTTTTGAAAGACCTGTCCATTGGCCCTGGCTGCCCCTCTAATCCCCCTTCTGTGGTAACACCAGCAGTCAAAGGAATCGTGGAGTGAAGACTTTAAGTGACTTGTATACAAAACTTTCCTTTCTGTTTAAAACAGACACTGTACATATCCAACTTGGCTGCTTCTCTGTAGATTTGGGTTGTGCTTCTGGTTTGATCTCACCTGCCTTTCTCACAGCCATCTAGGTAAAAGAAAATGATGAATGGGTGAACCCCTTACCTATCACTCCCAGGAAAACAACCAGGAAGCATGTGTCTCCTCAAGGGTACTTTGTCACTAGATTTCATTCCCATCTGCTCTTCTTGCAACTGACGTGGAACTCAACACAAAGTAGTTGAATATGGTCAATCATCCTTAAAAGAGGTTTATTATTTATTTTTGCTGTGGTCATAGACTTGCCCCAAAGGGACAAATAATTCAAATTACATTTGAATAAAAATGGAAGCAAAGGTGGTGTTCCTGCCAGTTGTTTCTGGAAGTCATTTTTCTTAGGCTGCCTAGAGGCAGGCATTTTAAATCCCTGCATAGTATCATTTTATATAATACATTGTAAGAAGCTAGCTTGACAGAATAACATACAAACCTAATAGAAAATGTTCAGTTTGGTTTTGGTCTTTTAAAAAAAATTATTGAGGTTTTGTACATTTCATACAATAGTTCCTAATCAAATTTAGACTCCCGCCCCCACCCATGCCCTGCCAACCCCCACCAGACCTTATGTAGTCTGCCATACACATTAAGTCCTATCCAGCATTTGTACCCAGATGTTCTTAGGTGCAAATTCATCCAGTGGAGTCTAGTCAGCCTATCTAGAGATTATAAGTAAGGCCTACTCTCCCTCATCCAGTAGTAATCCATCTCCAGTATTTTCCAGACTGGGGCTGGCCCACCACCCTTGTCTGATTGAGTTGGCATGGGTCTTGTGCTTTATGCCATCATTGCCACAAGTTTACATGTGTAAGCTTTGAGTGTCCTGAAAGCCTCCGCTTCCCTCTGTTCATGAACCAGCTCTGGCTTTTACAGTCTTCCCACTCCTTCTGCAATGGACCCTGAGCTGCTGGTGGGTGTGGTCTAATATATAGGAATCCTATCAAAGGACACACACTCTGCATTCTCTTATTTAAAATTTGGCCAGTTGTGGCCTTCTGTTTGCATGGCACTCTATTGTATAAGGAAGCTTTGCTGGTGAGAATTGAGGGATGCACTAGTATTCTCTCTACCCCCTGTTCCATGAAGAGGTTCCACTGTAGATGTGTCACTTAGGACTGGGCATCTCTTAGGTGTATATTCTGTCTCGCCAGTTGTGGGATTCTGCAGTAGCCTCCATCTGTAATGAGTGGTATATGGTATACTTGTCTATAAATATAAGCATATTTAGCATATGGTAAGAAATTTTGTCTACAGTTATAACAGAGATAGAGTTTTTTTTTTTTTTCTAGGATCTGTGACCTCTCCAACCATGTGTGTTTACAGTGCTACCCATGAGTTCACTCCCACTGAGAGGGCTTTAAATTCAATTACATGGCTGTTGATTACTCCCCAGATAACAGTGCCCCTACTATACCAAAAGAGGTAGTTTGCTGTGCCAGTCCTTGTGGTTACTAGATTTTAGGGCTGGGTTGGACCACTGATTTATTTTCTCTTACCAGCTTGCATAGTATCCCCTAGAACTATGAGGTAAACTTCAGGTAGGAGGATTCCAGGTTAGTTCCTGCTCTATCGTTCGAAGTCCTGTACAGTCTCAAGTATATCCTGTCTTCAGCACTAGGGTCTTATGTTCCAGTTCTGGGAGATAACCAAGAGCTCTGGCAATAGCCTATGTTATTTTGGGAGTCTCTTGGACTACTCTGACCAACCACTGAAGGGAGGTCTCTCCTGTCAGTGTTCCTTGCCATACAGCCTCCAGGTATATATATGCACTAATGTTCAAACACCGTATGTGCATTTCTCAGGGGGTTTTGGTGGCAACACATTACCTTCTGTCCACCCTAGCCTCCCAAGATCCATTCATATCTACTCTCTCTCCCCCCCCATCCGACCTCCCTCCTCCCTTCCCAGTCCCAAGTGTCCCTATTGTCCCCACCCTTCCCTGAATAACACCCGCCTCCCACCATCCCCCTCTCCTGAGTTCCCTCCTCCCTCATTGTGACCCCCTGCATGTCCCCTCCCAGTTCAATACTCCCACTCCCCACAACTCCATTTTACTGGCTCTGATGTAACAGCAGGCTATATGTACTCATATATAAGGGATTGGTGCCTTGATCTACAAATAAGGGAGAACATATATCACTTTTCTGAGTTTGGGTTACACTTCACTTAGTATAGTGGTCTCTAGTT